ATGGTCTTAAGCAAGCTTCGAGAGCCTGGAACTCAAAATTCACAAGTTACTTACCTGCAATGGGGTTTAAAGCTTCTGCTTTTGACTCAAGTTTGTTTGTTAAGCAAAGTGATAGTGATGTTGTCATTCTACTGCTATACGTAGATGATATTATACTTACTGGATCAAATCCTAGCAAGGTACAAAGTGTTATTTGAGCTTAAAGATATGGGAAAGCTGACTTACTTCCTTGGTTTGCAAGTTAACTACAAAAAGAATGGTGATATTTGTGTAAACCAGTCTAAGTACATAAAGGATTTGTTGCATAAAGCTGGTACGTAATCCTGCAAACCAGCATCTACACCATGCAAGCCTCATAATCCATTGTTAGTCACTGAAGGCACTATGTTGACTGATCTAAGTTTGTATCGCAGCATTGTTGGTTCCTTGCAATATCTAACCTTTACAAGGCCAGATATTGCATATGCAGTCAATTATGTATGTCAGTTCATGGCTTCTCCCACAGATATATATTTTGGGGCAGTGAAAAGAATCTTGAGATTCCTAAAAGGAACTCTACAAACTGGTATAACTTTTTCAACTGATATTGCAGTATGAATTACAGCCTTTAGTGACTCTAATTGGGCTGCAGATTTGAACACAAGAAGATATGTGACAGGGTATGTGGTATACATTGGCAATAATCCAGTTTCATGGCAATCAAAGAAGTAGGATTTTGTGTCACGAAGCTCTACAGAAACTGAGTATAAAGCGTTAACTCATACTGCAGCCGATGTTGCTTGGATAAGGAATGTTCTTGGGGATATGGCAGTTGTTTTACCTTTCCTCCAGTGATATATTGTGACAACAAATCTGCAATTGCATTAAGTGCAAATCCAGTTTTTCACTCGAGGATCAAACACTTAGACACAAACCATCACTTTGTAAGGGAGAGAGTTCAAAAGGGAGATCTACATGTTCAATATCTACCTACTAAAGATCAAACTGCAAACATACTAACTAAGGGATTGCATAGTCCTTCATTTCTTAAGCATTCATTCAATCTCAAGCTTGGAAGCCTAGGTGAGATTGAAGGGGGATGTTGACTGATATACACGTATGCAACAGGTTTGACAGATGGCTTACACGTCAGCTAAGGTTGTTAGGATTGTTGTTAGACTGTTAAAACTTAAAAGGATAAGAAAGTTAGTTAGCTATTAGTGGCTTAACTGTGAAGCTAAGATTGTAGCCTATATAACAGAAATCTCTGTAATCTCAATACACAACAGTTCATTCATTCACTCTTTCTCTCTCTCTATTCCTCTGTGATATTTTCTTTCACTCTTCTTCTTATTCTTCCATACTTAGCTTAATGTTAATACACCATATTAATATTAAGAATGTTAAATGGTTTGGTGGAATTCGATTGTAATTCAGATGCAATTCAGTGACAATGATAGAAAATCTCAATATTTATATACAAATAAACTCTAAATTAAAGGTATGATAAATAACACCGAAATTTACTACGTTAGAAAACAATAGCCAACTTGTAAATAAAGCATGATAGATGACGACAGTGTGCAAGAATTTGGTATCGAGTCTGATGAGGGTGTTGAAACAATTAGAAGATTTGGCATCGAATGCGAAAGTCGACCTTTAACTGTGGATATGCAAAAGTAAATGTTTACAATCTAGGACACGGAAAAACCAACTTGATGAAACTTTTGCATTAGTATAAGATTTAACTAAGATTAAAGCTAACCAATAATCCTAGTTTATTAATTATGATATTAAGATCTAGCTAGTTACAAGGGTCAAAGTTGTATGATCCTGAATGATTACTGTTGCTCCCTTCCAGTTGCACCTATAATAATGTGGGTTTTCCCAGGTAGATGTCCAAAGTTTAATGAATTACTTGCTGGATTTGCAGGCCTTTACTACTAAATGAATGCTTGTTAATCGTAATCAGAATATTTAACTTTTCTTGTCAAGTGTGTAGTAGTTGTTCAAGATTTTGAAATATACAATTTGTCACGTGATATCATCTTGAGTTCACATGAGATGGCCAAGAATGTGCACAAATATAAAACAACAAGATAAATGCTAAGGAGACTTTCTCAAAAGTGGAAATTTTCATGAAATCTTTGGTATCTCATGTTTTTGGTACAATGTTTTATAATGCTAATATGAGAATTGACGTTAAACTGTGAAGTGACTAAGAATCTCACTTTGAGAGAGATCCCTTAGCATTTCTCAAACAAGAAATTGTAAAGAGTAATTTACTTCAATATCAATTATTTTATTTCCTTAACACAGATGATTTGGACTTGATCGTGTAAATCTAGGCATTGCATTTGCTATATTATCGAACCAAATAGTCAAAATATGTGTACAAATCTAGGCATTACATATTTGATATATTAATCGATACCAACGCAAAAACAGATTAGAGCAGAAGCTTTTAGTTTTAGTGATAGAATACATATTTCTAATGTCTGGTGCTATCCACATGATCCCTTGTTAATTTCTGAATTTTAATTTTTTTAATTTATTTGATTTGATAGTCGAAAAATTGAAAAGTGAGTAAAAAGTAAAAAGAGGTATGCGAAGAGCACTACCCTCTCTATTTTACTAGCATAATTTCATATATATAGGATTATGAATTATCTGTAAAGCTAAAGTTGATACAAAAATAAATATTAAGGGAGATGCATATAAGAGGGACCATATCAATTGCTAGCCATATTTCAGAGACAGAAAAAATCTGATAGAGTGATGGCTCCACTTTTCTTTGATCTTGTAGTATCACTATTGTTTGCTCCTAATTTCAACAACCGAGCATGGAACCTTTCAGCGGTCCCCTACCCCATTGCAATATCATGGCAATTGGTCAAGCATGGAGAGGGATATTTGAAACACAATAATTTCCCTTGAGCAATCATATGATACAGTAGTCAGCTCTAATTCCTAAAAGCTTCAAATAATGCGGTCAAAATCTTATTACAAAATAAAGAAGAGAACGAATGCATTGTATTACATACATCCATGTGTATTCTATGTTAGGTGTAACCCTGTAAGACGAGTTTAACATTCCTATATATATGTTTAATCGCTTTTGAGTCTCGTTCTTGAAATGTTCAAAGTTTGAAAAAGAAAGTATCTTAGACTCTCTTCCTAAGTTTTGATCCCTCCGTCACTACTTATGTTTACATACATAGAAATAGTAAGCAGTCGAAATTTCGCTTTTTGACATTTTCTATGTTTATTTTCTCTACATTTACTAACACATGCGGGATCAAAACATTTTCGGCATTAATTAACAATCCTTAATTTTATACTTGAAAACCTAAGAATTTCATGGGTTATTGTTTGCTAGGATTTACCTACTCCAATTCTTTATCATCACTCTTTCTGACTTCCCTCGTTTAAACAAATAAGCATGGCAGAAGATGAGCATGGGATGGTTTTTCTAATCTAAATACGTTGCTTTGTTTGGCCGCCATGGAAAGGGATAAAAAAAAGGCAGAAGCAGAAAGCCAAAAGCCCGAGCTTTGGCTACCGCTTTTGGAAGTCCATTTGTAACGTAAATCAGAGAATGACCGAAGCCCCGATCCGCTCACATGCATTCGACACGTACTTCCTAACGTGTTCAAAAGCTGAGACTTCTCAAACTTTGTATTCAAATAGCATGACCTAGTCGGACGGACCCACACCTCCTCCCCCAGAGAAACCGCAAAGCTTCTTCACGTTTTTCTGTTGGTTTTGCAGGAACCCTAAAAACTGAAACTGGAAAAGTTTCTCACGCTTTCTTCTTCTGTTTTGATCTTGTTTGGTGGGCAATGCGAAACGAAACGGCTGCGTCTTGATCTGGTGGTCTAATGGTGTGTGCTACAGCGTAACACAAGACATGAGGGCGTGCAATAATGGAATAATAAAATGGATTATTATTATTATTATTGTTGTTGTTGTTGTTTGATGCTCTTTGAAATTCATGGAGTCTTTTTCTTTTGTGGTCCTATAGAATTATATTTATATGGGGCATGCTATTGCTATCCTTAAATTTGTCAATACGTTTTGGAATTGAAAAGTCACTATGTTGGTAGGTCTTGGTTCGTAGTTTTGTGGTGGCATACGTGGATTACAATTTTATTTTTATCCCTTCCTTATGAAGAAAGATTATTGATATAAACTAAAATTAAAATGGAAAGTAATTAAGGAATCTTATTCTTGGTTTTAAGTATTTAATTACAAATTTAAATAAAAATATATATACATTTTTTATTCCATATGCATTAGTAAACATAAGGGAAGGTTAAGAAGTGAAAAAAAAAAATTCATACCGATATTTTAATAAACACAAAAAACATGAAAATAAAAATAATTTCAAGTGCTATTCTAAGTAAGCATGCCATAAAACAATATCTATTTATTCTCTATCACTGAGACATGAGAGCATAGGAAGCCGGTTTATGCAATCCAGTAGCATCGATACTGTTGCGTACCTTTCTATTTACACAGATAAATTTTTTAGTGTTTCGGAAACAAAGTCCGATACATCAAATATTTTATCATAATTTGTCAATTTTTTTTTTTCTAATTTTCAATGAATGTGTAGTACTACACTTGACGTATTAAGTCGTACACTAAAAATCCCTTCAAAGCAGGCGCGTGGGTAGCATTAATAGTGTATACTGTTCTTTCATGTGGTAAAGTGGCAGTAAACCACGAACGTTAGATGACTTGTCGCAAATGGAACGCATCTATTTGTTTTTCCAAGGCATCTAATTAAGCAACAACCCCTCAATTCGAAAAAAAAAAACAGAAAAAGAAAAAAGGAACAACCCCTCAAAGACTCCAAACCTCTCCTTTGTCCAGCCAACCAATCACGGATCTCCACGTCATGGAAAGTTGGACCTAAATCACTAAACTACCCCTATATCAAACTTTATTATCTTTTGGACCATAACAACAGAAGTAATATAAGCAAAAGATGATAAGTGGGGCGCGTTGGTGACTTGGTGGATCGCTATAAAGAGCTTGCTCTAGAGCTCAAACCACCTCCTCTTTCCCCCTACCTTCTATTCCCTTTTCTTAACTTCATTCTTGAGAGAGAGAAAGAGAGCGAAGGAGAGAGAGAAAATGGGAAATTGTCAAGCGACTGATGCAGCAACACTGGTAGTACAGCACCCAAGTGGGAAAGAAGAGAAGTTTTATTGGGCAGTGAGTGCAAGTGAGATTATGAAGATGAACCCTGGCCACTATGTTGCTCTTCTCATCTCCACCACCTTGTGTCCCTCCAATCCCACCACGGACAAGGGCGGTGACAGGAAAGACAAGAACTCGAATCCGGACGACAACAAGAACACCGCTTCTTCGCTTCGCGTGACGCGCATAAAGCTCCTCAGGCCAACCGATTCTCTTGTTCTTGGCAAAGTTTACAGACTCATCACCACTCAAGGTTTAAACTTTTACTCAAATTTTTATTAATATTTTTAACTATTCTAATCAACGGAAAAAAGTTAAAAAGGAATTCGAACTCAGACACAACGAGTCGGACTTGACCAACTAAGGCGGCAACTAAGGGTTGGTCATGGTTATGGTACACTGCCCTTACCAACTAGGGTTAGAGAGGGCGGCATATTCCCACAACCCTTAGTTAGTCAGGGCGGTATATCGTCATAAACAATTAGCTTAACTCAAATAATCGCACTTTGTTCTGTTTAATCTTCTAATTTTTTTACTCATTCTTCCTTTAAAATTATGAGAGTTTAATTAAATCATGGTTTGTTTTTTAGAAGTGATGAAGGGATTGTGGGCAAAGAAACAAGCGAAGGTGAAGAGAAATAATAATCATCAGGTGGAAGGAGAGCAGAAGCCACAAGTGGAGAGGGTGATGAGAGAGAAGCAAGTTCTGACATCAGCCAGAAGATCTGAGACTTCTGAGCTGGAGAAGGACATCCAGGTAATTAAAATTTGATTTAACAAGTTTATCTTCTTGATTATTAATTAGGTTCACGTCTAATCCCTCTGTCACATGTCGAGTAGATTCTCTTCTACAATTGCATACATGATTTTAAGATTCTGAACCTCTCAAACCAATTGAGTCTTGAACACGAAGCTTCAGGTTTAAAGTTAAACGCTTTTAACCACTGAACTGCAAGTTCCTTAAAGCTTTGATTGTGCTTGAAGTGGTCAATCTCATTCTTGTTAATTGATTAAGGTTTTAAGTAAAAAGCATAATTATTTAGTCAAGTTCATAATTAAAGAAGATTCTTTGATTTGTTAAACCAGCATAAAATCGGGGAAAAAGCATTGAGTTTCGCTTCTGTAACGGCTTAAATCATTAAGTAGATGAATAAATAAATAAAATTATAAAATGCTTTGAAACTCGCTTCGGTAATGTGCCAAATGAATAAACAAATATAATTAATATATAATTGAAAGAACCAATAAATAATTAAATAAAAAATAAAAAGTTGAATTAATTGTTCTGTAGAAATACTGATTAAGTGAAAACCACTCTCTAATTAATCATGTCAAATATTTTCAACAGGTGAATAATAAACATGAGAGAGGAGGACACCGACCAAGAACAGCAACAACATCAAGAACGTGGCAGCCATCATTACACAGCATCTCAGAGGCTGCAAGTTGAGATATCAATGTTTCCTTATCGTCCCACATGACGCGTAAGCAACTCAGTGGAGGTGTAGTGGATCAATCAGTACTCCACCTGCAGAAGATCGAAGCACATTTACGGATGCAGGTAGAAGGGGTTTGCAGGTGAAGGGATTTGAGTTAAGTTGTGTACAGAGAAAGGGTGGAATGTTTAGAATTAAATGTACTGAAGAGATTTTCTTTCCAATGAAAGTTTAGTTCAAAAAGAAAATTGCTTTGGTTGATTTGGTTCCATGGTTAATTAGTAGTTGTTAATTAATTTAAGTTTACTAGCTCATGCATCATACCTTGCAGATTACTTTAGAACCAGAATACATAATGGCCAATGGTTCTGAATAAGTTCATATCAAGAGAAAACTTTAGTGTAACGAAGGTTGTATCACCAACTATGTCTCATTTACTATATAACACATCGCATTTAATGAGCGAAATAAGGTGATGTAGATTCATTCAGATACATGTAAGAATATTCTTCAAATTAGACGTAGTAATGCGATGAGTGATAAGATGACGCGGTTTATGAGCGAGATAGAGTGATGGAGATTTATCCTTCATTACATGTAAGAATTGATCTCCTCCAAATCATGCTTAGTCTAAGTTTCAGATAATTACCAAATATTCTGCTAAATTTCAGATAAAGAAATTCGATTCTTTAATTGAACTCTGCTATATTTCAAGATGAGATAGAAAAAAGTAAAATGCTTATCATATCCTGCTGCATGCACAACCATCATAGTCAAGCTGGAGATCTATGGATAATGTAAATTATATCCACGCCCCCTTATGTCTCATATAATTATCCGAAAAACTTATACATATTCTCTATGACTCTATGTTGCATCTCATTTTTCACGTTATTCACGTAAAAAACAAGATAAAAGATTGTACTTTTTTCTCATCGTGCCTCAAATGAGGAGTGAGATAAAAGGTTGTCACATCGTATATAACGCGTGACAGGTGAGTCATACTCAGTAGTTATACTCAAATTAAAGTGTTTAGAGGGAAGACATATCTCAGCATCCAACTGCAGAAAAATATTCTCAATTAGCAAAACAAACAACAGTGAGCTGCTAGCTATAAAAGGTTGCAAAGTTAGCTTTAATCATCAGAAGCCTGTACTTTTTGACATCTTTTAACCATTGCAAACGCAAATGTAAAAAACGGAAACTTCCCAACAACACAACATCATTGATTTGATTCCTCATCTTTTTTGCATTCGCCGCACCCATCAGAGCAAGACAGACCAAAAATAACAAAGCAAAAGAAGGCTTTTCCCTTTCCTTTTTATATTTTTTTAATTTTAATTTATTTTCTTCTCAAAACTTTATATATAAAAGGCTAAATTGGATTGTTAGTCATAGGACACTTGCATAATGACCCCCGTGGTGAAAAAATTAGGAATTAAACCCCTGTGGTCTAGAATGTTAGCAAATTTAGTCCAAAAGTAAGATTTCTGTTAAATGACTGTTAAAAGTTGGGGTAAAACTGTATTTTCAGTTCTAATTGACATTGAATTGAGACTTTTTTTTTATTTAAAAAATTAAGCATTATTTTTTTAGTTAATTGTTATAAAAAAATTATTTATTTTAAATATCAATTGGAACTGAAAATACAATTTTACCTATACTTTTAACAGTCATTTAACAAAAATCTTACTTTTGGACTAAATTTGCTAACATTTTTTACCACAAGGGTGTAAGTCCTAGTTTTTTCACTACGGGGGTCATCATGCAAGTTTCCTATGACCACGGGGATGAATAATCCAATTTGGCCTATATAAAAACCATATTATTCACTACATGGAAAGGAATATTTGCTCCACTTCGTTCATATAGGAAGGGCTTTTGAAGTAGGACAAGACAATTGCAAACAGCTCACACGAGGCTACTTTTGCTGAGGCATGCAACCTACTCTCTCAGTTGATTATTTATGCATTTTTTTTGGGATTTTTGGGTCCTCAGATTATTCCCTGAAATAAGTGAAATCCCACTTCCGATGTGGGGCAGACATCATACGTTTGCAATTGTTGAGCAACTTAGTAGAAGAATCACATAAATATTGTCTGCATTATATTTTTCCCTTTGGAAACCCACTCAATTACATGTTGTTTGGTTTGCTTAATCCGGCTATCCCTTTTCTTTTTAACAAAAGCGATATCTCTATAATGTACTAGGAGGAAGATTTGAACTAATACAATCGCCAAGCGGTTTCCCTAACCAAACCTTTAAAGAACATTTCTAAGTTCTTTATTTTCCCTTCTATTTCTAGAGGTGCGGTTACTTCATTTTAAAGACTTAAATTATTATTTTCAAAATGGTTGCAGGAATACTCCACTTTATATAAGAGAGAGAGAGAGAGAGAGAGAGAGAGAGAGAGAGAGAGAGAGAGAGAGAGCATTCATCATTCTTGCAAAACCAGCATGCAATATGAACAAGTTCTCCATACCTTTCAATGTGTTCATTGACATTTTGGGGGAAAAGTGGGGCAACCCCAAAACAATCAACAAAAGTTCTTGGCCAAGAGGGTCATTTGAGGCCTGTCCCTTGTTTGGTAAAATCTCTAGAAATCCACAAAATTAACCATGGAAATAATAATTACACATTGTTATTCTCTTCATTTTTTATACAATGATGTTTTTACACTAAAGAAGTGCGGAATAAATAGGTTGCGCACTCGTAATTTTTCAGATTCGAGCACATGACATTTCACTTATAAATAAAGATGAGTACCATTAAACGATGGTATTAAATGGTCACTCTTATTTAATTTGCTCAATCTAATGACAAAAAATAACAAAAAATGTGCTAGAGGAAAAAAATAGTGTGCCGTTAACATTTTCCAACCAATAATGACAACTTATTGATGCAATATAATATCCAGACTATCTGGGGAACATCGACAATATCAACATCATATGTAGATGATCTTCGTACAAATTATGGTGATGCTATTTTTTACAACAATAATGCTATTTGGGAATATTGCAACAGTATTAGTGCTATTTGAGATGATACGTAAGATGTACGTACATTCAACTGGGGAATTAGAATAAGTGCTGAATAAACCGTTCAACTGTGTTTGATAAAGACAAGAGAACGAGACATACGATTTTCTAAATTGTAGCAATGAATTGTTTGAGTCAAGAAAGAGCCATCATCATCAACTATCAATTCCGAGGGTCCGGTACCCGAAATTCCAAACTTCAAATATACTATTAAAATTTAAAAGTTCTTGGATTTACCAGCGGTGCTCTACTTTAAACTAATCTAAACTGTGAGAGTAAGATTTAAACTCAGGAGTATAGGAGAAAACACATCCGCTCTATCCAATACGCACGTCTTCAACATTTAGTATTCAATTCAAATTTTCAAGCTTTGGCTGCTTGCAACTGAAGAAACCAACCAGCCCTTTATGCAGAATACTAATACATGGCTCCACTTGGCAAGCCTATAAACTTCTACATTGATGAATGATGTGTTTATAAACTAAGAAATTTAGGATGAGGGGTGACAATTTCAACCAATAGTATTTTATTTGAAAATTACGCATTAACTCGCGGTATATCATCCATTCAAACTCACACTCAAAAATTTGCAAGAAAGCGCAAAACAAATTTTTGTACCTGAAAGTGCAACACATTACATAGAAATAGAAGGGAAAAAAAAAAAAAAAAGGAACCCGAATAGCTCTTCTTGTACATGCTACAACAGTTGCATCGTACTCTTGCTTAGAAACTCTGGTCAGGGAGTGATCAGTTTTAGCATGGAAGTTTTGATAGAATTACTAAACCTCTCCGTCTGTGTTCTCAGTCACCTCTTTAACTTCTTCGTGCTTGCTAAGCTGGCTGAAGTTTCCCTTCTCCTTGAAGAGTTGGCTATGGTGATGCCTACAGTATAGACGATGCTCGTGAGCTACATAGTTTGATGGACTGATCACACAGCCTCCATGAGTGCACCGGAAACAAGGCTTATGGTATGATGTGCCGTCAACTGCCACCTGGAACAAGAAGCAATCAGATTAAAGAATGCTGGATTCTACAATGTCACACCTTCCATGCATTCATAACGCGTATTAACATTGACAATTATTTACATGTAAAATGGACAGTTCCATAAGAGCTGACATACAGTTTGGACTGAGGAAGCTCATTGATACGTTGAAGCAGAAATTTACCTTTTCGATGGGGTAAACTGTTTTCTTGCAAGCAACACACTTGTCTTGAGTCCCAGCAAATAAGCTCGAAACTTTACTGTTGGTCTGTGTACTGGAACTAGTTAGCGTAAATATAAAAACTTCTAAAAACAAGGGTAAAATCCCACCAGTAAATTCTGTATTTTCGATGAACTTGCATAACCTCTATGAAGGAAAAAAGAAAGAATTAGCAAATCAAGGCAGGTACCTGATCGGATCTTTCTCGAACAGTTTTTGGTATACCTAAAAGACAATGATGGGGAGAAAATAATCCAACATTACAAATTAGCAAGAGGTTATAAGCTTCAAAAAAATATGCGTTAAGACAATTTGAGCAGCTTATCACCTTCAAAACTTTTATCCAAGCTCCCAGTCATCTTAAACAGCTGATCAAAGTGAGGCTTGCAATACAAAACACCCTCAAAAGAGGAGTAATTACTAAGCTGCATAGACAGAAGTAAATAAGGATAAATGTATCAAACATCTCATGAATATCACACCTACAACAAGAGAAACAGAGTTAAACTTTTCCATTTTTAGAAGATCAAACGTTCACACAGAATTTAACGTGAAGAGTAGGTGCCTTGTTTCTGAATAAAACAAATTTCAAATTCGAAAAATTATCAACTCTTAACGGGTCCACTCGATTTCAAAAACTCCGAGAACCCATATGACAATTCGAGAACCTAGAAGACATGATGGAGTCATGGTTGGGAATTTAGTTAGCATATTGTTAATAACATTCAGTGCTAAGTTGAAAAATGCAGAAAGTTGTTTCCCTTAGCTTGGTAGTCAACACATTCTGTGATTTGAACAAGTCCTTCGGCCTTACACTTATGAAATGTTCGCTCGATTGCAATTATGAAAATCATTTCCGAACAAACCCAGAATTCAAAATCAATCTTACTTCTACCAACTGAAAGCACTTTCTGAAAAGCACTTCAAGAACAGTCAATGCAAGTAAATTTAAGATGTATCAAATGAAGAGATTTCAACACAGCAACACAGGAAACAGTGAATTACAATTCAATCC